CGGAGAGCTTCAATTTTCGGTGAAAATTTTTGCGGTAGAAATTTATGAACCGAAATCAGTCCAAACATAAATAATTAACCTTAACACACACCAAAAAAATTAAATTTTCAATGAAATATTGGCGGTAACAATATACGGACCGAAACCAGTCTATAAATAAATAATAATTTATCTCAATTAAAAAGATAATTCCTTAAAAATGAAATTTAAAAAATTTTCAATATAATTTTTAATATAAAATTAATTATTATTATTTTAAATATATATTTAATTGAAATAATTTTAAATAATAATAACTATAATAATAAAATATTTAAAGGTCAATAATAAAATTATTTAGCCCAAATTTGACACTTTAGGACTTAAAAAATTTGACTAACATATTTTAAATCTTTTTTTATGTGAAGTATTTGTACATTATATTTTTTGTTTTTAAGCGATATGGGATTTAAGTATTTTCTTACATAGAGTGTTGATAAGCTTTACTTTTTATTTTTAGGTGATGTGAGATTTTTTTATTCTATAATTTTACTCATATACTAATAGAAGAATAAAATATTTATCAAATAAAAACAAAAAAGAACTCAATCAAGTAAAAATAAAAAATAACATATTATATACTTATATCGAAGTTACGATTATCAATCAATTTATTTTGAACAATTAAAGTTGATTTTTATTAATATTTGAAATATGAGAGTTACTCCTAAACTTTAACTATCGTATCACTTCCAAATATATATGTTATGACACGGTTATTCCTAATTAACCACAATGACCATGCATAAACAAACCATTCCATTTCCTAGTTCCCACCTTCCCATACTCTTATTTGAGGTTAACCCTAAGTGTTAGTAAAAAACTTCTTGACAACTATCAAACATAAACCTCACCACTTTAAATGCTTTCTCTATAAAGCATAGGTGACTTGACAATAGGAATAAATGATGAACATTTTTAATTCCATCACCAGAAATTTCACGTTTTGTCAAATTGTAATTATGCAAAATCCCCCTCTTGAATTAATTATGGTCATTAATTAAATGCAATTTCACTCATGAAATTATTGGTGCAAGTATGTTGCGAAAGTTTGGTGTCCCTATATATAATTATGTACATGTAAAGTATTCTTGGTGCAAGTATGTTGTACACTTTTATGTCTATCTATATGATTAAGTGAGGTAACTTTTTGTAAAGTTAATAATAGTACAAGGATCTAGTATTTATGTAATTCTATTTATAAGGGTAGGAATCCCTTATTCTCTAATAACAAAATTTGCTGTTCAAAGAAATTAATAAAAAAATCCACAGAATTGTGTATTTCTTTGGGTTTGGTATAAGAAATAATTAAATATTTCATAAATAGATAATAAATAAGATATTTAATAAAGTTAAAGGGCTTTGGTTCATCATGGTTTTTATAGTATTAGAGGAATAAAAAAATTATTTGAGAATAAAGATGTATGTGGTGCACATTTTTTTGAATTAATTTAATTGAAAATTTATATTTTAATAAAATTCTTTTTCACTAATATGTGATTACTATTATTGTCACATTTTTTTTAATTTCCCAAGTTTAATTATAGCCTAATTGTAATAGCAAAATTCATTACTTATTGTGATTGTCTTTTGTTACAAATTGTATATATCATCACAAAATGTAATTATTATGAATGAAAAAGTTTAATCACAAATAAAATTTGGCATATGTGGCAAAAATTACTCATTTGTAACTAATATTTTATTTGTAACTAATAATTAACTTATAGTGATGATTTTGATTGTAACAAATTTATGTTATTTATTATAACAAAGCTTTTGTAGTTGAATGTAAGTTTTATGCCGAAATTATATATTTAAATTTTGAAAATTAATTTTAGAGATCAATATTTTGAATTAGTTACAAATGTAAAGGTTATTAACGACAAACTAGAGATTAGTCACTATTTTCAGTCACAAAAAATCCATTTTCTTGTAGTGGTAGCACCATAGCTAGGGCTAGGCAAATGGTTGATTAATTAAATGAATAACTAAAAATCCATAAAAAAAATTAGTCAAATAGTTAGACATAAATAGTTATTGGTTATTTTTTTAATTTTAGTTAAATAACAAAAAAAAAAATTGGACAATTAATGAATAGAAGATTGAAAAACCAAAACTGAATATATAACAAAAATATAAAATTTTATATTAATAAATAAGTAATAATTATTTAAATATTATAAATAAACATAAAAATCATCTTATCTACTTTTATTTTCAAGTTTTACCTTATAAATTTTGTTTATAATTTAGTATTTAAATTTAAAATATATCTAAAAGTACAAAAAAACTTCAAAATTCATATTTTACTCTTATTTATCCTCTTTTTTTTTTGCATCTTTTATATTTATATTATCCCTTAAAAATTCTAAATTGTGGTTAATTATAGTTATTATTAAACTTAAAATAGGCATTCAATATTAATTTGGATAAAATCGATACTCGAAATATTAAAACAGATTATATTGTTTACCAAACCAAAAATCCATAAAGATTTTTGGCTTGGTTTTGATCAGTAAAAATCGAGAAAATAAAAAATGAATAGTTCAAATATTGATTTTGGTTGAACCGAAACCAAATTGTGCCTAGCCCTAGCCATAGGTAACAACTAAATAGGTTAGAGTACCAAAATACTTTAATTATAATGCACATAAAATGGTATAATTATAATGTTACATAATATTATGAATTTATAATATAATGTATTATTATATAATTAATCTTTTTTACTTAGAGATCTATCCTTAATATTATACGTAAGCATTTGTTACGTCACAATTATTTAATATTACATTATAATTATAATATATAAATTTAAAATCTTAGGATAAAATTATAATTATAACATTACTATAGAAAACAACATTCTAAACTCAAAAGACAACATGTTGAAGATCTCTGCCCCAAAATTTTATTATATTATTTAATTTAAAATAAAATGATTAATCCAATGTTTGGTGTGTTATTTGATTGAGGTGTTTCTAGTTCTAAGACAAAATATTAACATCAATTTGATTCGAGGCAAATTTGGCATTGTCGATGTAATTAACAGAAAGGCTCATTATTGTAGGGAATGAATATTCAGACTAAAAAATCGGTCCGAATAACCCCAAAATTGGTCTGAAAATATATATACAAACCAATCCTAATCCATATAGTTGAACCGTAAAAACATGGTATGAAATAATAAAATATACAAATTGACAAACAATCGGTCCATATATTAAACTAAATCAGACCGAAACTTGACCATATATTTTGGTAAAAAATTTCAGGTCGTCACTATAATATTGAAATTTACAGACCGTAAACAATTCAGATATTAAGAATATAATAAAATAATTTCATAATTACATACCGCAAATAGTCTGAATATTTAGGGCAAATGGTTATAGAAAATATATTCAGACAGGATTTGGTCTAGATATATATGTCCTTTTTTTGAGAATGAAAAATTGGGAGCCTGAATGGCGACCCCAAAAGTATATTCAAACCAGTTTCGGTCTGAATATAGAGGACTCAATGGAAACTTTTAAAAATTATGCTGCTAATGTGTAGGTTTTTATGAAATATATTTAGACAGTTAACGGTCTGTATATATTGGGCGCAGATGCAAATTCTGAAATGTCTGCAGCCCATATTGTCGTGACTTTGAAAATATATTTAGACCGTTATTGGTCCGTATACATTGGATGCAGATGTAAATTCTGCAATGTCTGCAGCCCATATTGTCATGACATTGAAAATATATCCGGATCATTATCGGTCCGTATACATTGGACGCAGATGTAAATTCTGAAATGTTTGCAGTCCATATTGTCGTGACATTGAAAATATATCCAGATCGTTATCGGTTCGTATATATTAGACGTAGATGTAAATATTGAAATATCTACTGCCCATATTGTCGTGATATCTAAAATATATTCGAACGGTATCGGTCCAAAATTAAAGTTTCAAAAAAATAAAAAAAATAATAAAAGAAAGCAATTATTAAATAAAATAAAATATATTGATTTTTCTTACTATTTACACAATATTCCAAAATACAAATTATATTTTACAAATCAAATATTAAAAATCTATATAAAATCTAAATATATGTACAAAAGAATAAAATAATTTTATACTAATTATTTAATATTATGTAATACCCCAAAATTTTGTGATATTTTAGCATTAAGTGAGGACCTTTGTGAGAGGAAATATGGTTTTGGGACTTAATAGCCAAAGATTTCAAAGTTTAGGAACTTATAGGAGGAAAATCTAGAAGGGTCGGCTACTTTTCTTTTTCTTCTTTCTTCTTCTCCACCCATTTCGTGTTTCTGCTCGTTTGTTTCTCCCCTGCAGCCCGAAAATTCCCAGCCACCGCCACCCTTCCATTTCTTGAAAAAATTTGGAAGAAGGCTTGAAATTTCTCCTCCTTT